AGCAGTCAAAAAAACGCCGAGTGTTTTTTTTTTTACAAATCAGCCACTGTGCTGAGAGTAGTGATGGATGCAATCAGAGTGAATTGAATTAAAAGAATGAAGTTACAAATTCAATACTTTTTGGGACTAGTCAAAGTAAGCTGCATCTTTGGGTGGAGACATTATGAACTAAATCTGAAATCGTTGAAAGAGATTATATTCTTTAAGATTAAAGGGGTCAACAAACTATCCCCTCCATCTTTAATAACCAATCATGACAATGTTCAAAATCATCCATTGTATAGAGAAATGTATTCACTGACTGAGCAACTGAGCAGGGATGACGTGTGTGCAGGCGCAGCAGTTACCCGCTCAGCTCTTTTCTCTTCATCTGCAGTAATAAAAAAATCACCGTCCTGAAAACCCCAGAGTCCGAGCACGTTGTGATGATAATTTATGTTTTATTAACAAAGAATCAATCATTTTTATGTACAAATATAATACAGCATGATTAAAAAATAAGAGGAATATATATATTCCATGGGACAATTGCACTTTGAATGTCTTCCTTTGACGCTTCCGAAGCTGTCCTCTTCTCGTGCCGCTTCCTCTACTTGTCCGCTCGCACGAAGGAGGCGAAGACGCTGTCCTCTCTGTCAAGCAGGGCCTGGGGTGTGTCGTACTCCAGGATGATCCCCCGCTTCATCACAATGACCAGGTCGGCGTTCAGGATGGTGTGGACTCGATGCTGCGTGGCGGAGAAGAAGGGATCCATTACTGCACTGGGACAGCTCAGAGAGAAAGCTTCGAAGAAGTCAAACCGACTCACTGTCCTCTCTTTCAAAACTTGGATGCAGTGTTGTGATGATGCATAAATCAATGAGTTTGCAAATGGAAGATATAGAGTTAAAATAGCTGAATATTCTTTAATACAAACAATCGGCATTGGCAGATTCATGTTTTTTTTGGAAAACTTTTATGAGGACGAGAAAAACAAAACAAGTCGGGGACGTTCATTCATTCCTTCTTTCCTTCTGACCTAGTTTCCCCTCTTTGCTTCATAATCTTGCAGCAGAATAACTGCAACCATTTATGAGAAACACATTAGCAGAGCAGGATGAAAGTCAGCACTCTCGGGGCAGAAATGTATAGCCGCTATGTTGTAGGAATCCCTGAAGAGCTGCTGCAGTGTAAGAGGAGGAGGAAGAGGAGGAGGAGGAGGAGGAGGAAGAGGTACTCACTGCTATAGTTACTACTGTCCGGTCAGCAAAAGAGGTCATCACCACTTTCTGCAGGATGCTCTCCTGAGGGATGCAGAGCAAGAGAATGCTGTTTCAAACATGCACACGTTAGATTCCACTTTGCATAAAAATATGAGATTTTTATTAAGATTTAACTTAACGCTTGTAATGAAAAAACAAAACAAACAAAAACACACACACACACATATATTCTTCCTCCTGCCCTCTATCATGTTTATCTGTGTGCACTAAAAGCTGAACTGTGTTTCCTCCAGGGCTTTCCTGCTACGTTGTTGTAAGCTCAAAGTGGAGCTGTTTGTCAGTGAACATTCAAGAGAGGGATATCTGAATGTACAGAAACTCCCCTCAGGCTCTTATACGCACTTAGCTCTGCCTTCTTTTATTTCACCTTCTTTCGGCTTCGTGCGTACCCTCTCCAGCACTTCTGCTTGCTTCCAACTCTCCTCCTCGCTCTAAAATCCTCGGTCTGGGATTCCACGTCTGATCGTCTCCCTCTCTCCCTGCCACAGTAGTTCGTATTTA